AACTGGAGTCAATAAAGCCAATATCCCTTGGATTGATGGAGAGCTTGCCCACAGACACCCAAGCTGAATGCAAACAGTAATCACCACCAAGCTCAAAATAAACTTGGGTTCCAGAATGCGAAAGGATGACATTAGCCCCTGGGACTGAGTCCGGTGCATCAAGGAGACCTCTAGCCTCCACATTCCATCCCGTGGGATATGTTAGAAGTGGCTTGTCCCAGGGACCTCTGCTGCCCTGGGCCACCCTCGATCCAGTGGCCCCCTGTACTCTCTGGCAGCTCTGCTTGGCCAGTGATAGGATATGTCTTTCATCTGCAGAATACATATTTGTTATGTAGTGAGTGTCAGGAATTAATAACCCACTCAGTGGTGGGAGAAACTTGCATGTTAAGCACTGAGGGAAAAAAATCTTTTCTAATGAGGCTTCCCATTCTCCCCAAGGGGAGGGTGAAGACAGGAGCTGATAGTGGTCAGCAGAGGCAGCGGGCATGATGTAATTGGAATTTGAGATGGGGACCTTCAAGTCCATTCTTTCCAGAAATGGCGATCAAAGGCCATCTTCCCCCAGCCCAAATCCTTTCCCCCTTTACAGAGTTAACAGTTTTTAACCTCTTCTGTTATGAATCATGAGGCCCGTGGCTTTTGACAGATCATAAATCAGGTCTGGGAGTTGTGAGGACAAATCCCAGGACTTTTAATCTTTAATATTAGACGTGTTTAAGGTAGTGAATATTTCATGAAGGTGCTGTTGAATTTTAGCACATCATTAGCTACTTTACATTTCCCCTCCCCCTTTGGATTACTAACTCCCAGGGAAATTTCAAAGATCCAAGGAATTCTCCATCTTCTTTCCATCTAGCAAAAGTCAGTTCACCAGTCAGCAGACATTGACTAAGCACCGAATGTGTGCCTTGTACAAGATGTTGTGGGGAGTACAAATTTGCATGTGAATATGGTTCCTGCCCTCAAGAAATTATACTCTGATTGAGGGAACAAGACATATAGTCATAATACAAGGTAGGCCATATTCAGTTTACAAAGAAGTAGTACCAAAACCAAAATGCTTTAAGAACTTACAGATACCATAAAGAGTCAAAGCTGGAATGGCTATTAGATCAAAAAATTTGGAAACATAAGTTATAGAGTATTGGAGCTGGAAGGTTCCTCATAACAGAATGTCAGAGCTGGGTGGTATGTTAGAATATAAAACCATATAATGTCAGAATGAAAAGACACAGAGAGGTTCAGCCCATAGATGGCTCAGAATACCTTCTACAGCAAGTGGTTGTCCAGCATTCCAGCATTTGCACGAAGCAGAAAATCTCATATTTCATTTTAGAAATTTCATCATATTAGATACAGTCCAAGGTTCTAGCCTGTTGAGATTCTTTTGGATTGTGACTCTTTCATCCACCATGTTAATTTATTGCTCCCATCTTTACATCCCAAGCAGATTTGATAAGCCTGCCATCTATTCCTTTATCTAAGTCATTGGTAACAATGTTGAACAGAACAGGGCCAAGGGGAAGGGAGGAGTGAGGTTGGAACACTGAACTTAGTTTTTTTTGTCCAACTCTATTGAGTCTGGTCAGTTAGTTCCAATTTTGTAAACTGCCCTATCATCTAGCCTCAGTTTTACAATATTTCTCACAAGGTTAGTGGAGGAGAATTCTCTAAGGTTTTACTGAAGTATGTCATTTTCTTGATGTGAACTGTTTTTAATGAAACAATGTTGGCTCTCGATCATAAATACTCCTTTTTTCATGTGTTTATATTCCATCAATCAGGACATTTGCCAGTCACCAGTCCAATGGTGCTTCTGCCATTTTCCACAATCTTTCAGTGATTACTGACCTCAGTTGATTACCACTACTAATGATACTAATAAACAATCATTAGTATTTATATAGTACTTTAAAGTTTTCAAGGTACTTTATAAATATTATTTCATTTTATCTTCACAACAACCTTGGGAAATAAATGCTATTACTATCCATATTTTGCAGATGAGGACACTAAGGCAAAGAGAGGTTAAATGACTTGCTTGAGGTTAATACTGCCACTAAGTTTCTGAGGCTATATTTGAACTCAAACCTTCCTGAATACAGATCTAGTGTTCTATCTCCTGTTCACCTAGCTGCCACCTATCACATCCATCAGTTTTTTCATTAACTTGAAAGAGGCCCATTAACCTGAATTCACTTAGGCCTACTAGTTGTTGTTTCCTCCATTCTCTTGGGTTTCATATCCTGATTAAGTCCATATTCAGTGTTGGATCATTGAATGGTAGATTGGAATGAGGCCTTAGAACACAATGTGTCAGAGTATGAGATGTTATGACTGGTGGGAATGTTGGAATGTAGAATGATAGAACTTAGGAATCTTGATTTGGAAAGTACCTAAAAACATTGAACAGTAGGTCTGGAAGAGATCTTATATGCCATCTAATTTAATCTTTTCATTTAAAAAAGGGGGAAACTGAGATCCAGAATAATTTAATTGATTTGCCCAGCTAGCTGACAAGGATAGGTCATGTGGACTAAGTTAATCAGTGAAGGCTTTATTTATATGGGAACTTGAGCTCGGTCTTGGAGGATGTATGCAGTTCTGAGATTATATTACCTCACGGAAACATCAAATGCCCCAGTCCAGATCAAGTAGTTTACGTTGTAGATAGAGCACTGTACCTGACATTGGGAAATCCTAAATTCAAATCTCATCTCAGACTCTTCTAGCTGTGTGACCCTGAGAAAGTAACCAACCTCTGTCTGCCTCAGTTTCCTCATCTGTAAAATGAGGATAGTAATAGCACTTAACCTCCTGTGTTTGTTGTGAAGATAAAATAAGATAATATTTGTAAAGTACTTTCCAAACTTTTAAAGTGCTATATAAATGCTAAAGAACATTATTAATCTTTTTGATGTCATAGGCCCTTTTGACAGTGTGGCAAAGCCTCTGGATTCCTTCTCAGAATGATGTTCTTAAATTCATAAAATGAAATACATATTATTACAAAGAAAATAATAATATATAGTGTTTTATGGTTTATAAACTGTTTTAGATATATTATCTCATTTAATTCTCACAACATTACAAAGCAGGTATCATTATTATCCTCATTTACAGATGAGGAAATAGGTTGAGGGAGGTCAAGTGACTTGCCCAAGGTTACACAGATAGTGAGTTTTTAAATCAGGATTAGAACACAAGCCTTCATGAGTCCCAGTTCGTTGTTCTGTGCACATATTAGACACTTAAAAGGTAGTTAACCATCTGACTCACTATGTGTAGGGCCACTTACCTGCCTAGAAACCAATCATACTGAAATAAATTTATTAAAGTTAAAAAAAGAAACATATTCACAAACCCAAGGTTATGAATCCTTGGACTAGGTCTTTCCAAAAAGGGGTGGTGGGAATGGAGGAAGAACACATAATGAAGAATTAATTTACTTTTCAGTTTCCGTGTATGATCTCTCTATTACGCTGTTCAGTCACCCACCTGCCAGGAAATCAACCTTCCCTAAATGTCTTCTGTCAGTTTTTCCATGTCTTTGAGGTAGCTGATGGCACAGTGGGTAGAGTACCTCGCCTGGAATCAGAAAGACCTGAGTTCAAATCCAGCCTCAGATGGTTCCTATCTGTGTAACCTTGGGCAAGGCACTTAAACTTCTCATTGCCTCAGTTTCCTCAACTGTAAACTGGGGATATTAATAGCACCTACCTCCCAGGATTGTTACTAGAATTAAGTGAGATAATAATTATTTAAACAAGAAAAGGAAAAAAAAAAACAGGCAATATGCTTATTCCCTTCCCTCCCTCATTGTTTTGGTTTAGTTTTTTCATTCACCTGAGGGGAGAGAAAAGTTGGCAGTGAGAAGGAAAAGGGAGTTAAGCTGGAGGTGGGAGGGTGAGGAGGGTGTCCCTGCTTGGGACACCAATTTAAGGATCTTCTTGCTGTCTTCCACCAGCCAACTTTTCCCATGTTGTTACTCATGGATATGTATTTTGGGGGTTTCTATGAGGTATTCCCATGTATGTATTGAACAAGAATAGGTATATAAATATGTAGACAGAGATTTACATAGATAAATAGAGATATACAGAGATACATATCTGTGTATACATACTTACATATGTGTGTACGCTATATAAATAAATAAATACATGGGTGTATGCATATACTACATATAAATATAAAGATACATTATCTATATTTATATAGCTATCTATAGATATAAAAATAAATGTCTATAGATAAATATATACATGTGTACACACTATATAAATATATGTATAAACATATGTGTCTATACAGTATATATATATAGAGAGAGAGACATATGTATCTATATTTATGTAGATAGCTACAGATAGCTAGCTAGCTAGATAGATAGATGGATAGATAGATAGATGGATAGATAGATAGATAGATAGATAGATAGATAGATAGATAGATAGAT